GAAGATGCAGTTCAGTGGTAGAACACTTGCCTAGCACGTGTGAGGGCCTGTAGTTGATGCCAGTGCTACAGAAAAAGGAAAAGAATTAGGTTAGACGAGATTATTAAAGGATTAATAAGCAAAAGAAAAAAATAAACAAAAAATCTTTGTGGACAGATAATATTGCTGCACGTCTGACAAGTAAGGTTCTCTTACACACACACTTGATCTTAGCCCAAAGGCCGAGAAGCAATAAGTAAGGTTCTCTAAAAACTTTCTGCAACCATTTATTTACATACATTTTAGAGTTACTACAAGATTTTAAAATTTTAAACAGTTAACGAAAGAAAAATATGAACAGTTTATGACACTAAATTCAACTGTTTAGCCACAAGGTATCTTAAAAAGCAAATCTGCGCACTGAATTTCCTTAGGCCCCTGGGGCACTGGTTAAAATCTTTGTCCTGTTGGTGTTATCTGTACCTTCCTCTTGCGGTACACCGTCTTGTAAACTACAAATGGGGTTGTAGCAACTCCAGGAAAATCAGTATTGAGACTGCTGGAGAAGAGGACGTCTGAGAAATCCAGTCAGCCGTTCCCCAGGAACTGGCTTCCGCTCAGCTTCCCTCGCTCCCGGAGGTAGGCAAGTAGGTGCCTTCGCCTCCTCCATGTGACTTTTACCCCGTACTTCTCCTCTGGGGTGTCTTCAACCAGAACAGGCACGGGCTCCGGGCTGCAGGGAGTGCTGGTGTAGACTGGAAAGCTGTTTTCCTCCTGTCCTGGGGGACTGAGATCTTCCCTCACGGACGGCCCTGGGGTCTGGATGTCCGGGGCAGCGAACACGCAGGGCGAGCTCGGGAGCGCGTGCGCTGACGGTTCCCCGCAGCTCTGGGGACTGAGCATCGGAACCAAGGGCTGTTTGGAAACATCCTTTTCTGACTGACTGGGGCGCTTCCTGACTGAGGGGATTCCCGGTGTCTCTGGACTGGAAGAAGACTGTGGACTCTCAAAGATCAGATGGGGAAATTTACGGGTTGATTTTTGACTTGAAAGTCTTGCCCGATCTCGACGATGTTTCCGGCGTGCTGGAAACAAGCTCTCTACTGCTGTATCAAACTGAGGTGATACCTAAGTATTAGAAAAAGAGAAAAGTGAAGTCAACCAGCTACCAAGTACCTAAGAGAGGAAACAACATCCAATGGCAAGAACCTTACTGTGTGTGTAGTACGGAGACCGAACCCAAGATGTCTGCACTGAACTGCATCCCCAGTCCTATTTTTAACTTTTCATTTTGAGACTTAGGTCTCTAATTTGCCCAGGCGAGGCTTGAATTTGCAATTGTCCAGCCTCAGCCGCCTAGACTGCTGGGATTGTAAGTGTGTTCCACTATGCCTGCCTTGCTTTTTTTTTAACCCGAATCTTAAAAGAGGCCCATGATAGTTACGGAAACAAAAGAAAAACAGCCATCTAGTGAAATGGTTATGTAAAAAGATATGAGCTTTGGCCAAATTAGTCTCCCTGGCTGTTTTCTCTTGTGTAAAAGCAGGATCAATGCCTCTTGCACTTCGTCACACCATAGAGCTATGACCTGACTGTCTTTAAACTTTATGAGGACAGGACAGGAGATGGTGAGGTAACAGGCCAAGGTGCACATGCTTAGCATGCTCAAGGCTCTGGGTTCAATCCCCAGCACCAAAACAAACAACAAACATTCAAAAATTTAATAGGCCAGGCATGGTGGCACATACCTGTAGTCCCAGCACTTGGGAGACTGAGGCAGGAAGATCACTGTGAGTTCAAGGCCAGCCTGGACTACATAGTGAGACTTTGTTTCAAAAAAAAACAAAAACCAAAACAAAACAAACTTAACAAGGGCAAAGACTTTGTGTACCACTGATTCCCCAGCACCTAGCAGAATGCTTAGCATAAAGAAGGTCCTCAGTAAATAATAAAGGGTAGATTGTTCAAACAGGGAACGAGCAACTAGCAGCCAGGATGTGGTGGCACATGCCTGTAACCCAGCATTGCAGCAGGCTGAGACAGGAAGATGCAAGTTCCAGTCCTACCTGTAACCTAGCAAGGCCCTGTCTCAAAATAAAAAAATTAAAAAGGGCTGGGGATGTAGCTCAGTAGTAGAGCACCCCTGGATTCAATCCCCAGGGCCACAAACACACAAAGAAAGGAAAGCAACTAGCACAGTCGGGCACACACTGAATATTCAGAAATGTCCATTTCTATCAGCATCCACAGGGTTCCAGCATTCAAGTTTCCCCCAGGCTCACAAAGCCAGTAATAAGGTTCTTCCCAGCAGTCCTGGACCAGTTATATCTATTAAGTATATACTTTTTTTTGGGGGGGGGGTACCTGGAATCAAACTCAGGACCTTGCGCTTGCCAGGCAGGTGCTTGTGCCGCTGAGCTATATCCCCAGCCCACTAAGTATATACCTTATTAGGGTTTTAGGCTTTTTGCTGTTACACAGCAGGTGTATTCTCTTCCCAGGACTTTTCTCATTTTTGGGGTGCTGGTGATGCAATCCAGGGTCCAGTGCATGCTAGGCAAGTGCTTCTACCAGTAGGCTACATCCCCAGCCCATCCCAGGGCATTTGTTTGATTTGAGACAGGGTCTTGCTATGTAATTCAGGCTGGTCTTGAACTCACCATGTAACCCATGCTGGCCTTGACGTTTAGACAATCCTGCCTCAGCCTCCCAAGTGCTGGGATTACAGGCCCGCATGACCACACCTGACCATCCCAGGGATTTTAAACTGGCAAATATGACATGTGCCACTTCTGTGAATTTTTTTTTTCAGAGTTTAATCTATTCAACAGTTAATGGAGTACCTACCTAAATATCTTTCACATGAAATTCAGGGAATAATCACATTTTTTATATGTCTGCCATGTGTCTGGCTTTCTCACACAACTAATGGTAGTGAAACTTTCACCATGAACTTTTTCAGAGGAACCTGGTGGGGATAACTCCAGTGCCACCCAACCCATGCCTCAGACTGAACAGTGACAAGAAGTTACACAGGGAGGAACCACTGACCGCTGCCATAAAGAGCACACTGCTGCCCCGACCCACGAATCTGCTCATTCTCTGCAAGCCGTAGAGACGGCATTCTGAAAAGTCTATGGGGTAAAAGTCGAAGAATCGCAAGGGCCTACCCAGGAAATGAAGGCTTCCTCAATGGGCTTGCTGGGCACCTGCAGTGTGTGAGTGGGGAGTTGCTGTGCAGGTCTGCAGTGGTGCTTGGGGCCCTCCCGTGGTTGTTGGAGGAATAGCAGCTGGGCTTTGTGGGACGGCTGGCCACGTCTCTTTTTGGGCGGCATCCGTAGGTGGAGGAAGAGCAGGTAGTAACCACATGATGCTGGGTGCCTTCTGGTTGGGGGACAGAGCCCAATCCCAACACATCCCTGTTGTAGAAGAAACGCAATCTGGAGACAATAATCCAGACGATTCCCCAGCTCTTCCTGACACCCTGCTGGCCACTTCCAGCATAAACTACCATCTGGACCTCAAGGTTGTAGGAAGCTCAGCCTCCTACACTGCACCACTAAGCACAAATACAGTATTCATCTTCAACAGCGCTCATTCATTAAGTACATGTTAAATGCCACAAATAGCAGTTTATCCAACAATCACTTCTTACAGTTCTTATTTTTATTTTTTTTTTTTAAGCACCGGAAATCGAACTCAGGACTTTGTGCTTGCCAGGCGGGCGCTTATGCCACTGAGCTATATCCCCAGCCCTTGCAGTTCTTATTTTGAGACAGGGTCTCGCTATACAGTCTAGGCCAGTGATGGCAAACCTTTTAGAGCTTTCAATGATTTTTTTTTTTTTTTTTTTTTTTTTTTTCTC